GAACTTGAACTGTGGTATATCACCAACTTCTGCCTCGAAGGCTTTCAACTTGATTCGGAAGGTTCCTTGCACTAGATAGTGAGTGGTGTGAACCTACATCTGCTCCTCTTCTTGACCTTGTGTCAAGTAGACTGCGTCTCCACTTCCTTGAGATTGACATAAAATCGATCTGATTTTTAGTGTGTCCATCTGGTGAAATCCATGTCGCTTTGTGGATATCCTTGTTCTCGAACACACTGCCTCACTGCAATCACCAAATCGTTGAATGCACAGAATTCTGCAAACAGTTCCCCATTCTTGTTCATCGCCCCACCTAGCGCTTCTCGCCCATAGTTAGTTCTCTTCCTGTGTTGTCTGCTCCCAGTTTGGCAGTCATGTCGCCCATTAGAATTTTGATATCGACGACTGAAGTCTTGTTCAGTGTCGATTGAAGTTGTCTGTAGAATTCCCCCCCTTCCTCCTGATCTGCATTACTTGTAGGTGCATAGCATTGTATGCTTGTGACCTTCCTTCCTTCATTCTGAGTTGAACCTTGCTGTGATGATCCTGCATGAGGAGATTGGTTCCCACTGCATGAGGAAGGGGCTTTGATGCTGTTGGGGACATCATGATAGCCACTCCGAAACTCAGTGTGCTGGTGGTTATCGTCTGGGTGACCGGAGTAGATTACTGATTCTCCAGTTGACAGTTTGGAGAGTCCACTTCCATCCCATCTGCTTTCGCAAATTCCAAGCACCTCGATGTGATACCTCTTCATCTCGTTTGCAATCTGGGCTGCCTTGCTGGGTTCAAACATGGTGCGGACATTCCATGTCCCCATCCTTACTTTCGCTTTCATCGAGAGTGGGAAGATACATCAGCCAATTGGCTTCCTGAAGGCTCTCAGCAACTGGCGTCATTTTGCCTCTCCGACTCCAGCGAGGAATAATTTTGTTTTTATGTTTTATATTTTGTTTGTGCTTTGAAGTTTCTTCAGCAGTTAGATTTGATTCACGGGGTAGGGTTGCTAGCCGTATGCCCAACCCTCCCTGTTTACCCGGGCTTGGGACCGGGTAGTAATTAGTGAACTAGTTAACCAGGCGAGCTTGAACGGTACGTTGGGATTTCCAAATTCCTTCTCATGTCACTGTCCTGGATTTTGCTGGGACCTTCGACACAGTCCTGCACACCACTCTCATTCTCAAAACATAAAGGGTCAAGTGCTCTCCTGGTTAGAGGACTACTTAGACTGCAGACAGTCCCGCGCAAAAGCCAACAGGATTTGCTCGACCTGGAGGGATCATCTGGTGTATCGCAAGGAGTGATTCTGGGCCTGCTGCTATCCCTTCTTTTTGTGAACAACCTCCCACTGAATCCCAGCCCCCCTATTCTACTTTATGCTGGCGATGTTAAGTCATGGAGAGCTGTGACGTCCGAAGCGGAATCAAATGCACCACAAAGTGACCTCAGATTACTTGCGTGTGAATGGATATTAATGGACTAGCATTTCATCTTGATAAGTGCCAAGCCATGTTTCTCCGCACACCAGACCCTCAGAAAGTACCCTGCTGTCTCTGTGGAACACAACTTTCCCGTATCATTATGAAGAAAGGCCTAAGACGAATGCTAACTGGCAAGCTGGACACTAGCACCAATTATCCAGGAGACGCCCCCAGAGCTTACTCATTGCTGTATTCTATGCACAGACAACTAGATGCCCTGACCCCAGAACTCATTTTGAAGCTGTATGAGACCTACACACTACCTCACTCAGAGGTCCACAACGTCATGGCACTACCATATCTGAAAAGAGATAGGGACCTCCCGGAAAGAGTTCAAAGGCGAGCAACAGGAGGTATCGTGGGAACAGGGCGAAAACCCCATGAAGACAGGCTGAAAGGTCTAGGGCTCTACTCGCTGCGCTGCTGTAGATTGCGTCATGATGTGATAACGGCTTACAAAATGCTCAGTAACCCAAGTCAACCGAACAGTGGAATCCTGCCGAACAGCTAATGGGGCGATCCTCGTGGTAACCCAGGGAGAATCACTCACCAAAGGGCGAAAACCCGTGCGCGTTCACACTTCTATCTGAGAGTTTGCCACCACTGGGACTCATTGCCTGTCTACTGCTCCGTCTGTCGGCAGCTTTAAGAAGAGGATGGAAAGTTACGCAGCCACTCACGGTTTGCGCTCGTCCAGCTGGGATCTAGTCTAGGCTGACACGACCTGCTAACTCAGTACGGCCAACCCATTATCGAATGCGTTGTAGCACTACCACCACTGTGAACTTGGCTCAGCGTTATATTTCCGAATAGACGTCCCCTCCAGTTACCGTCTCCTGCCGATAGAATTACTATCTCTATTCCCATAAGCCGTCCTATAATGTTATTTCCCACTTCTCTTCCTACTAACTTTGCGTTCGCACACTTTAATAAAAGCTCTCCCCATTGAATGAGTAGACCTACTGCATCGGAATCCACCAAAGACCAGGGACCGTTCCTCAAGGCCTAGAATCGAGTGCGAAAATATCTGTTGGTTTACACTAGCTGTAAAAAATACTGGATGTTGGGGCCTCAAGACGAAGAAGGGCGAGAGCTCAAAAACTCCAAGTTTCCTCTACTCGCTCTATTATTGTTCATGTTGTTCAGTTCTATAGCTCAACAAGAAGCAACACACAGACAATCAATGAGAACCTCGTGGTTAAGGTGTGGGATAGAGAGGCTTATCTAGAGCAAGAAGCACGGTTGGTTCAAGTGGTGCACATCACGCAGGGAGCCTGACTTCTTGAACTGCAAAAGGATTCGCAACCGTTGTAACGTTAGAGTGCGTAGCGACAGATTTTCCTATCAAACGAACTTGGTGGAGGGGTTACAAAGCAACCCCAAAAACTTGTACCGCTTCATGTCGAGAAGAAAGTCGGCCAACAAGGGAGTGAATCTTGCCTCAGGCCATGACGGGAGTATACTAGGCAGTCTAGAGATTGCCGAGCTTTTGAGCTAACACTTCCAAGCCCAACTTAGCACTGACACAAGGTCCACACCGACTCGCTACGAACCGACCAGGCCGTAAATAACGAATACTCTGTCACATCTCAATTACAGAGAAAGAAGTGTTCGAGAAACTATCTAGGCTGCGTCTAGGAAAGTCCCCTGGCTGCGATAACCTAAAACCAGTGGTTCCGAAAAACTGCGTCGAGGTGCCTACTAAGCCACTTCGCAACCTTTTTGAGCACTCAGCAGAGTCGTGCAAACTCCCTAAAGAATGGAAGAGCGCCATCTTGTCACCCATCTTCAAGGGAGGAGGCAGAAAAAGCCCTGGCAGTTACAGGCCAATTGCTCTGCTCCCTATTGTGTCGCAAGTGTCGGAAAACTTGGTAGCTGACACCATCCAGGAATTCCTCAACGGGAAAAACACTGTCCATGCTGTTCAGCATGGCTTTCGGAGTGGTCGCTCATGTGCCACCAACTTACTAACCACTTGGGACTACTGGACACAAAGCCGGGATAACAGAAAACCGGTACATGTTGTATTTCTCGACCTAGCCAAGGCATTTGACGGTATCACACCCACAGCCCTGCTTCATAAGGTCATGTCAGCTGATTTAAGTGAACCCCTACTCTCTTGGTTCAAGGGGTACCTGGAAAGGAGGCAGTTCTGCGCCAGAGTAAACAGAATAGGGTCGGAGTGGAGACCCTCGACGTCAAGAGTATCCCAAGGAGCAATCCCATGACCGCCTCTGTTCCTCCTGTTTGTCAGTGACCTGCCAGATAAAATATCCCCACCCATCCTCCTCTTCGCTGACGACATTAAAATCTGGAGGGTGGTAAATGAAGAAGCTGATTGTACAGAACTACGAGGGGAATTTCAGCGACTCAGGCTCTAGTCGTCGGAAAATGGCCTGAGCTTCGACCAGCTCCAACTACAAGGGTATGACAACCAGAGCGAATGTCATTCTACACTTTTTGCGCAGACAGCTTGGCGCCCTCACTCCCGGACTCTTCCCAACCATTTTTAAAATCATACGTGCGGTCGCATCTAGAGGTCTTCAGTACTGTGGCCCCTCCAACACTCAAGAGAGGCTCTAATCTCCTTGAAAAAAATACAAAGAACTGCAACAAAATCAGTTGTGGGGCTAAGGGGAAAGACGTATCCTGAAAGACTTAAACACTACAACCTATCTACCTCGGGTTGTCGCATGAAGAGAGGTGATCTTATTATGGCATACAAGATCCTCCATCAGGCAGACCATGCAAACAAATCAGTTTTGCCTGCAACTCAGTGATCTTCACGAGGAAACCACATTAAGATGGCACACCAGAGAGCCAACACCATACTCAGGTCCAAATTTTTCTCCCTAAGAGTATGTGCTTTATGGAATGCCTTACCGTGACACATCGTCATAGCTCCTTCAGTTGACTCATTCAAGAGATGATTAGACAGTATGCCACCTCGCATGGACTACCACGGGCGTACCCAGGTAGTCACCAACCTCACTAGCCCCCAACTCCCTCCTAACTACCGCTTAATATCTCTCTCCTTAATACACCACATTACCTACCAATTCTTCTGTAGGAACCAAACCCACGCGACCATTCACGCAGTCCCCAAATACTTTTCCTTCCTTCTTATTTCTCTTTTTCACCCCTCCTTTCCTTCTCCTTCTCTTCTTTTCCCTTTTCTCGTTCCTTGTTATTTTTCTTCTTTCTTCTCTTTTTCTCTTCTCTCTTCATTCTTTTCCCACTACCTTACCATTCTCCTTCACGTACCTACACAGACGGGAGCCACGGCAGTTCCATAAACTTCCCAACAACCATAGCTCCCCAATCCCTCTACAAATTCCAACTTACTAACCCACAAAACATCCACCTCACCGAAGATAAACGAAAGAAAGCAAAGGGGATTTCCTCATCCACTGCTGGAGTGAACCGAACGACTCGAACCAGCCCTAAGAACTAGACTCGAGAGATCAAAAACTGCCAGTTTTCTGTGCTGGCACTATCAATATTGAAATATTGAATATTGGAAGGTCGACTGAAAACTAACCAGCCACATTCGTTTTGGAGATAACTTTCATCCACACTCCACTGCTGTGATATTGGATTTAAGGTAATTCATTTTGTTGAAGAGAAAGACTGGCAAAGAAATTTGCGTTCGGCGCTCCTAGCAGTTGCACAGTCGCACTCAATTAATTTATTAATGATCTGATTTAATGGTAAAAACATCACTATTAATTATTACTGATTGTCTTTCATTAATTAGAGACGAGTTAGCTAAGTTCAAGGGCTTACTGTATTATAACGTGGATGAGAACACTAACCGTGAGCGCAAATGGCTTGCCGCGAATATTTGTCAGTAGCAACTCATGATACACTCTTCCACCCTTGTATTCCCCAACCCTAGTATCTGAAATAAGAAGCATCTCTCCTCCATATTTTTACCAGTTACATTTATCTTTTCATAAGTATTTTTCACTCCTCTTTTTCTGATTCCTCACACCCTGTCTCTATCACTTTTTAAGTAACGCTTAACATCTACCTGCAGGTGCCTACAACAACAGGAATTGCAAACGGTTGATTTATCTTATCAGCAGCTCCATCCCCCCCCCCCCCCAAAAAAAAAGCCAAGCTACAATTCGCAAATGAAATACCTTCAGAAAGACAATCACTACCTCCAGTGCTATAAGCAGGAAGATGCAAAGACTTCTGCGACCATCTAAGGAGTACAACCGAACAAAAAGAACCGAGCCTCAAGACCTAGAAGCGAGAGCTCAAAAAATACAGGTTTCCCCTACTTTCACTATTGATGTCGGATGTTGGAAGCCTGCTTTTGAAGCAATTTTGAATTGCATGTCGCATCATTAAAGCTCCAGTAGTGTGTTAAGAACGCTTACTATTACATTTTGGGAGTTTCCGGATTTCGTAAATTACATAAAATGGATCTCCTGAATTTATTCGCACAAATATGTCTTATGAATCGATGCTAATATCTAAACCTTCTAATGCATGTTGTATTGTAATATCCGAATAGTTCCCATTCAACATTTATTAGGTTTGCTATCGGTTATTTAATACTAACATGGAGGCTGGGATTACTGAGTAACGACTTAAATAACTTAATGGTTAGGTCTCTGACGTAAGCGCTGAGGAACTTTGGTTCAAATCATCGAGGGAACACCAGTTCAATGGCTTATACCAATCGAATCTCGCATCTAACGGTTCAAGTGACCACAATATCAGTACATTAAGTGAGAATGCTCTACGATGAGAGATGAAGAAACACAGAAGAAAGAAGTCGGAATTGATAGGTCGTGAAAAGGGAACAAGAAGGAATCAGACAGTAGTGAAATTCGGTGTGACGATTGAGACGATGGCGATGTGTCAATGCATCTACATCACAGATCAATTTTGTTGTATCTGTACACAAAAAGAGTGAGTGCGTCAACCAACCAATCATGATTGTCCTTAACGTTTACATCTATTGTTCTCAGTCATCGACATCCTGATCAGGCTTCATACGCTTATTAGGGCTAGTAAACTTTCTATATATTTGGCTTAATACATGATTATGCATTGTGTGTGATCCGTCGAAAAAAGACTCGTAGTAATAATAATATGGGACAAGCATTTCACATAGATGGCATAAGTTGGCGAGAGCTAATCGAGATTTTTGTATCCATGCAAATGGCACCAGGTTGCTTCTGCATGGTTGACGATTAGGTGTGACATACCTCATCTCGCCTGTAAAGGTAGCTTGCTTCTGACCTATAAATACATTATTATTATTATCGTTATTGTTATTATTATTATTATTATTTTCATCATTATCATTATCATAAAAAGTGACATTCTGTCCCGATAACTTTTAAGCTAGTATCTTGCTGATAGCATTCTTATTGCTCTTATTGTTGAACTGCACTATCTATTCTTGTTGCTATACTTTTTCTACGTCCATTTAGGCCCAAATATACACATGCTTGAACGCACACATGGTCACTGGCCAAACGTGCTTCTGAAGGAGCTGCAATTTTCCACCTACCATCTCCGTGAACAACTGATAGAAATATGCTCTGTGTCCTCCGCTAAGTTGAGGCCGGTGGATGCCACTTTAGACAACGTATGTCTTTATGTCTGAAGTTTGTTACTCGGAAATAAATAGTTGTTTGAGCACAGTGTCAGGTAATCCCCGTCATCCGTTTGTTTGGCTGGGATTTCGAAAGTGCCACCTAAGTACCTTTCTTTTCTACCTATCTTACCCACTTGTGCATTGAAATCATCTGCTACAAGCAAATCTGAACTTTTGGCTTTTAGTAGGACAGTTCAGTAAAACTTATCCTTTGCTTCTTGTAAACTGTAGTCAGTGGGTGCGTGAGTAAAGAATAAAAACAGACAACGGTGATTTTTCCTTTTTTTTGTCCTCACTGTGCCGTTCAGTCGAACAGTGGATAGGCGATTGTCAACTGGGATTCATCTGAGTAGAGAACTTTCTTAGTTCTCAGTGGTGTACCTACATCTACAAGACTACAAAAACTAGCCATTGAATCTCTAGGAATCCATTAACCGCCCTTCATAGGGTTCTTCGTTGTCTTCTGTAAATTACAACAAAACGAAACTTCATCTTGACGCTCGTCTAATCTTAACTGGTCCTTTCACCACTTGGTCTAATTATCTTTATTATTATATTTCGTATTACTTTCTCCACAGGTTTACGTCATTTCATTGTGGAGTGGCGCATACTTATTGTTTCCTATTTAACTAAGCTATCGGTGTTTCTTAAAGATTACAAAAATGATGATCATGCTAGTTAATCACGAAGAGATTTGTATTGAAAAGTTAACCCATAAACTATACTGTTTTTCATATAAATAATCGTGAGCTACGTCTATTGCTTAAGAGTGGGAAAATACTTTCCTAGTGCGGATACTGAAGTGCGTGAGACAGTTTTCGGTCACGGATTCCAGTTGCACCCTGAAAATCAGTCTTAAAATTGGTGAGAAAGGGGACAAGGGTATTCAGAATCAAGTACAACATGGATCTTTGGATTCTCTAATTTGATATAAACCAATTAGGTCATTTAATTTAGGGTCTATGAAATAATTGAAATTAGTGGTTGGCAGCCTGAAACAAAACGGTTCAGAGTCGATCGTAAAGACGTAGATGAATCCCTACCTTTTATTCACCCAAAGTTCTCATTTTTGGTATTGTCTTTTACACAATCCACCACCTTTTTAGCCTGTGCTTAAGTTTTTTAATGACTGCTAATACTGTCGTCACAAATTTCTTTCTCTTTCTTGTCTTCCCTTCGATTTAATGATGAGTCCAGACAACTTTGTCGTTACCCATTTCTTATGTTGTTGATGTCTATGTTTCAATTACTGTGTGTAACCAAATTATCCTATGCAAACTTATAAATGGATACTGCTTTAAAGTTACTTTGCACCTCAGCTGAAGACTGAAATATATGAGAGCATTTCATCAATTACTGAACCGGGATATTTTAACCAAGTTTTAAGATCAGTTCTGTCTCATGCCTTTGAGAAACGATTCCGGCTGAAGCATATTAAGCACTGGTTAGCTTGTCTCATCAAGCCGATTATATCATTGCAATTACTTTTATATTTACCTATGATAAGACAACCACAAGCATATACTGTTTCTTATATCTTTCTGATATTGATTTCGTTTTCATTTAGGTTTTTTTTATCCCGAAACATCACAAAAGCCAAATTCTGTATAGATGTCGAGCATAGGTTCTGACGGTAAGCTTTAATTAGTCCCAAAGTAAACGTTAAACCAGACCGAAATATTTTCGTCTCACCTTTCTTGAACTTTGATCCATCGCTTTTGGTCTCGGTAAGCTTTTTAGACTTGAGACAAGAATTTGCTTTCAGAATCCTGAGGAACAATTCATTTTTCCTGAAGGAGAGAAACGTCGAGGTCGTTTCGAAAGATCTTTTTCCGAAATCGGAGCTATGGTTATAGGGGGTAATTAAATCTACAAAGAGAATAATTTCACTTCAGGAGCATCCGTTGGAGGGATTCGAGGATTATACAGTGGTTTGAAGGATACAGAAATTAAGAATCTTCCTACAATTGCTATTAGACGAACACAAATGCTTAATCATATGACAAAATCTGGAGCGACACTTGCACAAACCACAGGCTCTATAGGACTCATATATGCTTTGGCAGATTTTCTTATCCATAAACTACGCCGTGGTGCAGACGATGAGATCAATACAATGGCGGCGGCTACAACCACTGGATTAGTTTACACTTCTCCTGGTAAGAGACTTATGCTTTTGTTACACTGTTCCTTCTACTGTCTACATGCAACTCAGATTTCATTTCTATGTATTTTTCGGCCAAGTGTCGGATTACTTCACAAAATTTTGACCCGTCATTGACTTAGATACTATTTCAGCTTCCAACTAGTGTCACAGATGTTAAATTTTTTCTACCTATCCGCACGCTTGCAGTTACGTCTTAGTATCCTTAGAATTTACACACTAGGTATAGTGCATGACCTTGCTGTTTTATTTTCCAAGCATTGATATTGGCTTTCATTCGATGTATTTAGTGTCCTCTAGTGTTTTACATGGAGTATAAAATTTAATAATAAACTATCGTATCTGGCCTGGTGCATCACTGATACTTCACCTTATGTGTAGCTTCGGTGTCTCCGTACATTTCAAATAGCGTGTGTCTACGCAACTTTATTTGATCAAAGTAGTGATCGTCTTGTTATATATATATATATATATATATATATATATATATATATATATATATATATATATATATATATATATATATATATATATATATATATATATATATATATCAAATGTGAAACTAATTTCTAACCACAAGAATAACTCCTTTAAATTGTAGTAGCGAAAACTACATTTTATTGGCATTGGACAGAAACAGTTAGACTAAGTTCTTACTTCAATTTGTCACGCAAAAAAGACTGCAATTTTGGTGGGTGTTTCATCTAAAGAATTTTAAAGGTTTGTATTATTAGGTGGATAGTAATACTGTGATAGGTGGTGTTAGTTGAAATGAACATTATGTTATGATTCTACATTATTGTCTAGTACACATGACACATTTCAATACGACAAATAATTTGTCTTATATTATTTCATAAATTTTAGGAATGTTCAAACCAAATGGGTGGAAACGGTGCGCTCTTGGAGGATCTGTTGGATTTGCTGTTGGTGCAGTCACTGTTGCCTTGACAAGCTGGTCAAGTATTAAACATATACTTGGTGGATAAATAATATCCTTGTAATTAGAGTGGATGTATCTAAATAAAGATTTATTTACGTGCTTGTTTCAAGATACGTTTCAACTAACTGGAAGTGTAGGCTGTAAAAAATTTTCTGCCTTCAGTCATCGTATTCACTAGAAAACACACTACGCATTAAAGTAAGAATTTTAGATCCCCCTACAATAAAACTACCTCCGAGTCCTGTTTACAGTAGTTTTCCTTGTGTATCTTCTGTAAAGGATGGTTTGAAACACTGGCTCATCATAGAACAATGTGTGGCAACATTCATGCAACCTGAGGGACCAGTCAGACTGAGGTGACTATCTAAGATAATTTTGATGCTTAACTCAAGAATCTAGTCAGTGAGCCAGCAGAACATCATTAGGAACTGAAATTCATGATAACCATTGGTCAAAAAAGGCTTATACACCACTTGCTCCAGAATCCTAAAAACTATATTTGCTTCTAGTTTGTTGCCAGAGCTTTCCAACCTCTCAAAATGGATACACTGTTTTTATTAATCTGATTATGACAATAAACGTTTGCGTTCTTGGGAGATATCCATAAAACCCAGCAGCAGTGAGTAGGAGTTTTTTTGAAAGAAGGTTTATAAGGTATGACTATATAAGAGCACTTTGAAAAATTGAGCTTTACATCTTTCACATTACCAGGGTGATGGAAATTGTTAAGCGCCGAAGCAAGAAGTCGGTTGCCTTGTGTATCTCCATGAAATTGACCAAATACTGTCATTTCTTGATGTGGCATCTCTTGGGTTTCTTTCATTTTACTCCTGCCTCACAACCCAACTAGTCGCAATAAGTTACTAGTTTGCATGCTTAATACATCTTAATTGCTTCAGCCAATGAGGGTTTATGAACTCACCTACTGATTCACTTTTTACCTAGTAATCTAAGTCGGACATGCTTCGAAGGTGACTGTAGTCGAATGCTTTTAGCATTCATTTTTCCGCCATCTATTGGTCATGATGTTTCGCAAACATAGCAGGGCAGAGTGGACGGCTAGCATCTGTTTATGAAAACTAAATCAACATTTCGTATTCAGGCTGGGATTTAGTCAGTCTTCAACCCAACACGGTCAATGGTATGATCAAACCATAGAATAAACATTGTGGAAGTTAGCTGTTGAGTTTTAAGTAAAAGAGGCAAGTCAATAAATGAAGTTGTGAACTCCCAATGATTAAGATCGCCTGAACATGCCTGAGACATACTGAGTCATTACCTACCTCGACGCACCATGTTCGGTAAAGTAGAACCAGGTTCGACGGTCATAACAAATTAGCCACAAACGTAAATTCTGACGCGAGCGTGAGTTTACGAGCGAAGGACCTTTAGTAGTGTGATATATTTAATGTGCATGTGATCAATGACAGAAAATGCCACAAGAAATGTCGATCGATAGAGCCTAGATTGGTCTTCATATCAACAAGTTTAACAGCGCGACCTGGCTGACGGTTTAGTCATAATCTGTTTTACTATCCCAGAGTCTTAACTATCAAGTAGTTACGGTTTCCACTACACCACTAACTGTGATAGTCAAACCAATTCCTCTATGCAAATGACACGAGGATTTCTGTCTTTTTTTGAGAGATAGACTACTGTGACCAGTCACAAGGATTCGAACTAGTTGTGCCCTGACTGAGAAGCGTGAGAATCGCCAAGGTTACAGGAATCACCTAGTTTTCAGCAGTCATCCCAACGTTTTAGATTCCCTTTAACGATATCATCGACAATAACAACGGCATATCCGTATTAGGTCGTTCATTTGATCCCTTTAAAATTGTCTATGAACATCGCAGTCACACAAATTTACCATTAAAAACTTGAATATTATGTGTATATCATATATGAAAAGGAAGGTGGATTTATTATCGCAATATGCTGAAATACAAAAAAGGTTCTCACTGTCTCGTAAAGATAATTTCGATTTGTATAGGTCACTATTATAATAAAAAAGACGATAAAAAAGACTGTAGTACAGAGTAATATCCACATAATAGTCTTTTGTTCATCGTATATCACACAACAAAGCTACGCCTCTCAACACCCAATGGTCAGCTGACTTATTAGGTGGACAGCGTAAATAGAGCGAAGTGACATAGGTTCGATCTGTTCGACAAGGTTTCCTGTAGACTGGACATACATAAAGGTTTTTCAACATTTCCTTAGGTATCTCTTTATCTTTTGATATATCCAACGCCTGTATATGAATTACAGGCATCGGTTGATATAATACTTTTGGCTTAGACTCAGTAAGACGTAAATTCTTTTGATCAAACTCAGCACCCTCTAAAAATAATCCATAAATGAATGCACCTTCAGCTGGGGGACGTTGAATATCATCCTTCATAAATCTAGTCATCTCATTCCATAATACAACTGTATCTAATGCCCAACCTTTGTGATTACGTGTCACTTCTTGTCGAATTGCTGTAAGGAATCCTTGTGGATTAAAAAATCCAGTCATCCAAAAACACGTTGGTCGTCCATTATACAACCATTCGTAAAATTGATGATTTCTTTCAATCAATTCAGTGAACCAAAAGCCTAGTGTAGATGACTCCCATGATAGCTATAGATAAAAAAAAAGAGAAGATATGCGTAGTATTATTTGAATATCTGCTCAAAATGACGTACTATGTGACATGCATCTAACAATTTTCACCAAAACAAGAATGAAAAAGTCTATATATTCATTGGAAATGTGCTATTGCTTTCCTTATCTAAGAAATAAACGATATCTTCACATGTAATGTTTACAACATTGGATAAATTATCTGACGGTTCTTTTTAGTACAGAACCACTGCGTCTACCTGACATAAGTTATCAATAAACGACAATGTTGTGTGATGTTGAATCAACTACTCTTCTAACTTCATGTCTGGCTGACAACAATTATATTACTTGTTACGCAGTAAGTAGTCCGACGTTTGAGAGCTGTAGCTTATTGATCTAGTCTCCCGATTAAAATATGTCATCACAAGTTTCAACGCTCTTCTCCTAGTTTGGTTTCAGCAACCAGGTAGTATCATAAGCGTTTTACAGACTAGTACAAGAACATGTACCAGATTGCTGATATGCAGTACACCTATAGTTTTTTCGCTTGTATGACCGACAAAATCAACGTAGAGCCTTAGGCACAGGTGCGTCGGTTTAAGTTGCCACACTTCACAGTAGCATAGAAAAAACGGATAGAAAAAGTGACGTCAAAGTAGAGAATAAATAATCTGAAGATGACGGTTAGGGCAAATATCTAAGCTTTAGAAGATATCAAGGAGTGAATACATCTGCGCCACTGCGACCAACTTTCAGCCATTTCGCCAACAGTTACCAAGCACTGATTCTTATCGTCTCCGTGACCTTAGCCAGACAGTCTACATCTCTCTCTACGACTCAGACCAACAGTTTGAGACTTTATCAACGTCTTGGTCTGCCCACCCTTAACTCTCTTCCAACTTTCCCTAGGATGGCACATGGAGGTAGGCGATGATCCCGCGTGCGCAGTACATGTCTGTCGACAAAGGTTAACAACCTCATCAATCGTTTTACCTAGGACCCTTCACCTGACCTCAACATTGGCCACACGATGATCCTATCAAACACGAGTAATCGTACGAAGATAACTGTGATCAGAACTCTGTAAGCGCTTTATATTCTATTTTTTTAATGGTCATGTCTCATAGCCGTACAACATGACAGAATAGACTGCAGTGCAACACTCATCTTTTGATAGGTACTTGGATATCTCGCCAGTCTGCACCAGAGATGACGCAAGTTGCCGCATTCCACACGACTCTTCTGTATCCGTGCTTGTACAGACAGATCTGTCGATTCACAAAACAATTCTGTATTATGCTAAGAGTTCATGCATAAAAGTTTATGCAAACAGTATGCTGTTTTTAGATTTATATTACCGAAGACAATATGAAATATATTGAATTTGTAGTTTGTATGTAAGCCAGAAGTCAACATTCCCGACTGGCCTTGCCGCTGAACTGTATATCTTACGTTATACTGCATAAACTGGTCCCTCCTGGCATTAGTCTTCGATGCTCCAACGTTAGTTATCAAGAAAGTCAACGGTACTCACGCCTTTCATCTATTTAGCTCTTAAGTTTGAGCGACTGAATGGTATATATTGCATCAAGGCGAAAATAATTACATCTCAGAAAAAATAAATTTTGTTTAGTCCTATAAAGTTTTAAATATATTAGTTAGGTCTTAAGTATACAAACTTCCTACAGAAAATAATTAGTTGCTGTCATTGAGTCATAAAAGTTTAATAACACAGAATCTCTCTGTTGATTGCACTTTAAGAGGATTTATGTGCAGGTAATATTGTACATCGTCTTCCAACTAACGACCCTGGTGGATAGTCGCTCAGTATCGTGAATTGACAGAAGTAGGAAACTGTGAACTATTGGACTTTGACTGAATGGCTAAAGCGTTCGACGTGAAACCTAAAGGTTCTGAGTTTGGTCCTTGGCGAGGTCATGGATGGGTATTATTGAAGATTCCCATAGTAGGACGAAACGGTTGTCCAATGCTCCCAGGTTTCCAGTGGTTGCCCAGTTGATGTCAGTTCATGATGGATACAGCATTGAAGATAAATTCCCCATAAACCTCAAACTATATTACTTAATATTACTGTTATGATTATTAGTGTTGACTGATACTGGAAAAATGGAGGATAAGTGACTATTCTCCTCAAGGAAAACTACTAATATGTACCATCAATTTAAGACTAGTATCATTATTATTCAGTGCAAGTGGAACTGGTGCACTTATGTGCAAATCTATATGCTGATATGCCTGTTTATCATATTGTGCTATAAACCAAAAGCGTTAAGATATTCAGATTGCATATGACCCCAAGCAAGTAAAGTTGCTGAATTTTATCAAATGTTACAGTCCAGGATTCTGTTGCTGAGAAGTAATTTTCGCTGCAGTGGATTGGAACAGAGTGATCGTAAGTTTCTATGGCGGTCCACAAATGCAGTACACAGCAATATGAAAATGAGTTACTAATCTCATTGGATACGTTTTATAGTTTGATAGATGGACTTCGGTTAGTCCTGAGGTATCAGGCAGATGTACGCTGATTGTTGTAACTTTTGTACACTGAACTTAATCATGAACTTGCGAACACTTTCTAGTAAAGAAAGTTCAGTTTTAAAGATTATTATCATTTCGGTTTAAACTAGTGTACAACTGCTAGCAATAAAACGTTTTGTGTTTTTTATAAGTTCTAGTATCACAAGCCAGTTGTAACTTCAAGAGATCCTACACCAAACTACTGACAAACCGACTACTTATCATGGTTATCCAGCTAAATAAGCTCCTACGAACATAACTGACAATTATTCCATCTGCCTTCCAGTTGGCTGTGTAGAAGGTAGCAACAGGATTTCGATGAGTTACTGACAGATTAAATTTGTTATCAGGAGAATTACTTAGTTCTATGTTTGTTTAAGAAACATCAAACAAAAAATGTATTCACTAAAATGAAGTGATAACTGGAAATTATTAGGTAATACCTTTTCCCATTGACTGGGTATCCTTGCATCATACATACAATCCAACGCTTGACGTAACTGTTCACTCATAACAACAGTTCCATCGATTGCCAGTGTTAAGTCAACAAGATTTTCTCGCATTGTTGTAAGTAGCTTTTGAATTCTATTCAACTCTTGGCGTAGAAATATATTCATTGGTTGCAATGCACCCATTTGATTCAAGCGTTCATTCACTTCAAATTGTACATAATTTGGTGGCAATTTATCAAGCATATCTACAGCCATACGACGTACAACATCCTCACGTGTCTCCAGTGCACCAGTATTGGCGTCCTTTGGCTGAACATTCAATATACAATCCAGAATAACTTTCGCCTTTTTACTCTGATAACTGAATGGAAATATTTGTCAACAGAACAAAATAATTATACTCTTCCTAAACACGATGATTGTCCAAAAGCTTGTTAATAAATTATAAAAAAACAATGAAGCATTCCTTGGTGTGTGTGAGTGACTGATCGATGCAGAAAATGCGAACAGCATATTTCCACTGGATAAGTTTACAGTTCTGTTGATGAGGATTGCATAATTTCCATTAAAAATTTTTAAGCCTTCAAAATGTAAGGAAGACGAGTACAATTCTTATCTTTCTTGATGAAATGAAGTCAAATGATAAAACTGACTGACTTATTTACCCGCCTGGTCAGATATATTATACCGAGCAGGTAGAACGTGCGAAGGTCTTTGTGTAAATACAGAAATTTCCAGTTAGCATCGATTCCAGACGCTCAATGGTAACGTGCTGGCCGTGGAACGCGAAGGTCCTGGGTTCGATCCCTGGCTGAGCGGAGTCATGAGTGCGCACTCCTGAGGAGTCCCATACTGGGACGAAGCAGCTGTCTAGTGCTCCCAAGTTTCCGATGTTCCTCCAACTGATATCAGTCGATTTTTAAGGATTACGAACTGTGATTGGTTAAGTCCTGAAAACCGTTTTCCACTACCGTGAAGTAAACCTGCAATCAACCAGGTTGGATGTGAAGATATGTTTACCGAGGGAGTAAAATGGTAACAGCACAATATCAAAAGGTTTTACGCGTGAATTATTGAAACGGAGCTGACTTGCGGCCATCCTAGCTTCGATACGGCATATAAAGCGACATTCTCAGGTGTTCGAAACTAGGAAGGGAAATTCGTAAAATATTCCCTAGTTTTCAAGGATTCTCGAGTCTATAATAACCTGTGATGAAAACTGTATTGAATACACATGCAAATACCATGATTATAGTGACTATTCGTTTCCTGTTATCATGTTTATCTAAAAGCGAAACAGCTTCTGTATAGTTGAAGTCACTGAATATATTTTTATTTCGAATCCTTGAAAAGTAGCAGCCTACATTACACGATCTCTATAATACAAATGAAGAAAACGTTCAATGTAAAACAATGATCATTTTGAAGAATTCTCAGGTCTTTATTGTGAATCAGCAAGTTCATATTAATAGCTGATTAACATTTTCTAATCTATTCTGATCGGTGAAATCACTAACTAACTGAGTGTCTTTTTTCAGTAGTGTACAAAAGGATGTATATAGTTTATATGCAATACCTCTATTCAAGGGTGAACAATATTTTAAAGAAATAATTGATCAAATGTAAGTTATGGGCGAGAAAAATCCACTGAGAATACCAAGTATTCCATCAGTAGAAAGTGGTCTTCATTAAAACAGAAATCAGTAGACCAGATTTATTGAGAGGTATCTGAGATACAAGTCATTTTATTCACCAATCAGAATGTAAACACAAAATGAGACCCTCACTGTTGGTTATTGAGTGGAAACTTACGAATTTGATCGCATACTAAATTTAACTTTTAATGTTTATTCTTTTCCATATCACTTATCAAAGTTTGGTTCCCAGTAGATGATAAAACTTTAACTCATAATTGAAATGACATAAACTATTTGTGGCTCACGTGGATAGTCTTAGTTGCTTTGAGCTGGATGGTCGAATCATGAAACTTTCATTGTGTTTCTAGACAACATCATCAGTAATAACTTCCATAGGAAGTGAGCTATCACGATTTCTCCGTGAAAGCTTCATAAGCCTAGCTTGACGGACTGGTATTTGATTGATAGTTTTCTTTGATTGTTGCGTCATTGACTGCACAAACTTTCCTATCGACCATTTCTCTGCCTGGCCTCTGGACCTACAGTTGTTTATCCTGTCAATTAATAGATTGGGTCAATGTCTATAAACCTATTGACTGTTAATTGACTTAAATGTTAAGCTTCTAGGAATTATCTGGTGTTCCTTATGCTTTCTGTGTCCGAGATCTCTACATTTTCAAAACCGAATTAATTTCCACAGTTGTCTATATATATATATATATATATATATATATATATATATATATATATATATATATATATATAATATATATATATATATATATATATATATATTAACATAAGAGACGAAATTTCGTGACGGTTAACTGCCAACTGATCTTCATGCAGAGGTAGGCGAAGAGGATGACAATTTTATCCAATGTAGGAAAGTACTGGGAAGCACTCACAACTTGATCAACAACGTTTGTAAGTAGATAAGATTCTCAATACAGGAGAAACTGAAACACACTCAAATATAAATCGTAGGCCAACAGTTAGCGTTATTTAACTAGACCTAATCTACGAAACACTTCCTTCTTCTTTCCTCTCCCTTACCAGGAGAGAAGAACAGCTTCAATGATACTAAACGATAATAAAATCAATAGAAATAATTGACCATTGAATGGCATTCACTATATCAATGAGTAGGTATTTCATTTTGGGGCATCAAGAAAGGATGTTGGTCATGTTAGAGTTAAGAATATATTTGACAATGGTCTCTGCCTGAAAGGCTACATTCCATCAACAGGATTATTTGAGATACCCTCAATTTGTTAGACTGATTCCAAGCAATGAGGTGAAGTCAGGGTAGAATTCATCATGGACTGACGTCAATTGGAGGGACATTCGAAACCTGGGGGCACTGGATAGCTGTTTCGTCCTAGAATGGGACACCTCAGTGGTGCACACCCATGACCCCGCCTCACCAGGGATCGAACCCACGACCTTCAGGTTACGTGGTCAGCACGTTGCCAATGAGCAACTGGGTCGGAATACAGTGATCAATATTTCCTACTTCTGTCAGTTCACAATACACCGACCTCCATCCAATTTCGTCGTTGAGTAACTGTCCTCATGTTTGATTTGCTTGACTCCACTGGTCACGACTGGTCATTGGAACTTCGGTAATCACCTCTCAAAGCTAGTCACCAGTGAGCGTTAGATTTATTCAATCTAGAAGTTTGTGGAGATTTATTAATTGATTTCAGGTTGGAATTCATCATGGGTGTGCACTGCTGACGAGTCCCATACTAGGACGATACGGCTGTCCAGTGCTCCCAGATTTCCAATGTTCTTCGAAATGATGTCAGTTGATGATGAATTCCAACCTGAAGTCAATTAATAAATCTCTACAAACCTCTAAATTGAATAATGAGGTAATGATTGAGGTTGGAACGAAAATATAGGTCATGATAGGATGAGAACTATTTGCAGTTGAGAACATTAGCTATTGAGCGTCAGCCAATTAACTCAGGAGTACTACATTGTTTGTGTTGTACAGATGACCGTCAACATAAGATAAAATAAACTCATCAATAACCATTAAATTGTGATAAACAGTTACAATCTTACGTGATATCGACATTTTCATGCAGTCCAAATGCTTGAGGTGAATCATAGAGTGGAATTTCGTTAATAGCATCAACAAATTCTGTTAATTTCTGTACACGTGGAATTCCATAGCCTGGTGCAAATTTGAAATCTGTACTGAATAAGTTTTCACTGAACCATAACTTGCAATAAGTGTTCAAAAGTCGATTATCAAAATCATCAGTTACACGACCACCATATTGTATTTCGCCAAGCATATAGGTAACACACTTCCAGTCGATCCCCTGTTAGAGGGGAAAAAAAAGTTTATTATGATCAAGGATAAGGAACATACACTACACAGTGAGTTACAGTATCTACGTAACAACCTAAGATAAAACGGATATCCACCAAATTTATCACTACTGATATTACACAAAAAAAAACTACAAATACAAAAGTTACAGACTGTCTGACAGAAGACCCTTTATATGAACCCGGAACTCAAAGATGGTATCACAGTCGAAATCCGGAAAAACCCTCTCTGAAGATCTTGAAGGCAGATATTTGGTATGATTCAAGAATCATATTCTTCAGAAGACAATTAATCTATCAGTGCGTTAAGGACAAAACATCACTTTTGGTCAGCTGAATGTGCATCTATCAGTTTACTTGTTCCTGAAGGGGAGAGTACATTGGCTTTATATAATGTCATGTTCATATACGTATTTCGGAATGTTGTTCAGTTTGGCTGTCCAGAGGATAGAGAAGGAATACCAACAGTTCTATTCTTGATTACCTCGTCATCTCCTCTAAGTATTTCGTTCGAAGTAATTTACAGACTGTTTACCTACAATTCCAAAAGACTTCAAATGGGTCTATGCATAGCCAAGTCATTGGCGATTCTCATCCTTAAACCTAACTTTTGTGTTCAAAAACACCAAGTGGACTCATTACTCTTATTATGGCTAGAGTAGTGATATCCTTCTGCTTTTAGAAACCATTTAGTCTACCTTTGAACACCATAATAATTACATGACCCGATTGGTTAATAGTAGACTGTTAAGTGTTTCCAATAAATATAAATGTGATTTTACAGATTTGTAAATAAATTCATCGAAAAACAAGTTTTCTCCAGTGTTAATTCTTTGTCCTATGACTTAAAAAGGAACTACTGAGGCCCGTTTCTTATCGTAAAAAGTGTACTATTTAAGCTTGGTTTTGTACAAATTGACTTGAAAAATTGCTATGCAAAACTTTAAGAACGTCCCACGACAAGCTGTAAGTCAGATGCGTAGACTACCTACTAGGTTTGCTGACAGCGAGTATCTTCTGGTTCTCGCATCCCCAGAGCTGACAGACCCAGTCTGAAAGCTGCTGACCATAAGACTAGGTCTACTTCAGATGAAAGAAACAGGAGTGAAGCACTCTCAGTGCCAACGACGAAACCATGCAGGCCGGAGGTCATACCCAGTTCGGCGACCCAACCACTGACAAGAACTAAACAGAATGGGATGCAAGTCTATTCTGAGGCTCTCAGCACCAA